AGTTCTGAGCCGGCAGCCTGGTCCCTCTGCCGCTGGCGCGCTGGTGGCCATCTATCGAGGAAACTTTAACTATGGATTTGCTGTATCAACAAGAAGTGGTGTGTGGGGGGGTTGTAATATGCCATCTTTTTCTCACTCTAAGACTCAAGGTGACTTACAATGTTAAAACAGGAGTTCCAAAACCTTGGAACAGCCACCAAGCCTCTCCGAATCAAGAAGCCCTGGTGGCGCTGTAGTTAAATGGCAGTACTGCAGCCACAAGGTTGTGAGTTTGATCCCAGGGCTCCAAGGTTGACTCTGCCTTCCATCCTTTCATAGGTCGGTAAAATGAATACCCAGCTTTTGGGAGGCAATTGGCTTACAGATTGTAAACTGCTTAGAGAGAGATGAGTTCACTATTAAGTGGCATAGAAATGTAAATGCTTTTTCTAAAATGCTGTTCCCACCAGATGTACACCTGAGGGTGGTGGAACAGAGACAAGGGCCTCACCAAAAGATCAAAATACATGAGCAGGCACACATAGATTGATATCCTTCTGATAACCTTAATCTGAGCCATATAGGGCTTTGAATTGTGCCTGGAAGCAGAATGGCAGCCAATGGAGCTGTTGCACTCTGTGTGTGTGTGTGTGTGTGTGTGTGTGTGTGTGTGTGTGTTGGAGGGGGTTTGCTCTCTGTATCCACCCTGGTTAACAATCTGGCTGCAACTTTTTGGACCAGATGAAGTTTCTGAATGCTCTTCAACACAGATTACTCTTAGAATAATGCTAGATGTTCCTTTGGGTTATACCAGATGTCTCTTGTGGATGCTTCAAATCCATTGACTCATCTCTATGTTTCCCATGGAGCCACTGTGGTGCAGCGGTTTGAGTGTTGGACTAGGAATCCAGAAGAAAAGGATTTAAAGCCCCAGTCAACCATGGCAACCTACCAAGTGATTCTGAATAAGTTACACTCTCTCAGAATAAGAGGAAGATACTTCAAAACCTCTGAATAAATCTTGCCAAGAAAAGTCTATTGGTTGCCAAAAACTGGAAAACAAGGCACATAACAACAAAGAGTGCCAGTGTGGTGTAGTGGTTTGAATGTTCAATGTAACTGTGGAGGCCAAGGTTCAAATCCCTGTTCAGCCATGGAAACCCATTGAATGACCTTAAGCAAGTCACACTTGCTCAACCTGTGAGGAAGGCACAACCCTCTCTGAACAAATCTTGCCAAGAAAACCCTGTGATAGGTTTGCCTTCGAGTTTCTATAAGATTTGAAGGCACACAACCACAATAGCAATAAAAACAGCAGCAACAACAACAACAACAACCAAATCAATGAGAGACCTCCAAAAGTTTCTGTTACTAACAGTTCTGGCCAGGTCTTGCATATTGAAGGATGCAACTTTCTTTATTATATCAACCTATCTGTAATGGTCTTCCTCATTTCCTACTGCTTACAATCCCCACCCCACCCCAACATTATAGTCTTTTCCATTTCACTTCTAGTGCAAGTTCAAACTTGATCTGATCCATTCACATTTCTTTCCATCTGTACAATTTTATGTTTATTTATGTAACATAGAAATAGTATGCCTGAAATATGTTTTCTTGCCCACCTCCCTTTTGCATCATGTCTTTCAGATGGTAATTCTGTTGGTCCCTGTAATGGTTTCTTCAAATCTGTAGAGTGCCTAGAAAATTTCAGATTCTCAACAACAACAGCAATAGGCATGCATGGTAACTGATCAATACCTATACCACATTTTCGCAATGCCATCTCCCTTTCCCTGGGTTCAAATACCTGGAGATAGGTTATTTGCTAAGTTAAACAACAACAACATTGGAAAGAATTCTAAAACAGCCAAAGCCAAAGAAGTGTGACTGATCAGAATCAAAGGGCAAACAAACTAGACGCTGACCTGGCATAACCCATAAAAGCACGTCAGGTTTCTCCTCCTTTGCCATGAGTCATTCCATGTCAGTCTACCAAAGCAAAAGCAGGGGGGGGGTGTTTCCAACTAATGGGTTCTCTTCTCACAGAATAAAAAGCAAGCTTTCTGAGAGCTTGCTTACAGGATACTTCACAAGTACAGTGGAGGAGTAACTAGGGAAGTGGAAGAAGGTGGAAAAGTCAATGTCATTACATTGTGGGAGATACGAAGGTAAAGAACATTCACCTATTTTCTCAACCTTGGTGATAAGTGGGGAGGTGGGGTGAACCCTTAACAGAAACATGATTTTCATTCTTGAGAAAAAGGAGGAAGACAATCGTTTTCTTTCATTTTTGCTGGAGTTTCTGCAAAAGCATTACAGTTTGCATTTTTTTTAAAAAAACAACAACTATATTCTTGCACAGAACAGTATTTCATGCAAAGGGCATTAGGTTGCTGAGCAAAAAATATAGGAGTTTGTGCACACACATATCCAGCAGGATTGTGTACGAAATTCCATCAAGGCCCACCTTCCAGAGAAAATCAGTCTGCTTTGGTCCAATCCAGAATAATTCCCAATCAAATTGTGTCAGGCCAAATGAGTAACAGTCTTGCTGTTTGTGTTGCTCAGAGTGTAAGCACTCTGTCAGGTTAATGGGCATTTTAGAGCCAGTGTGGCATAGTGGTTTGGATATTTGACTATGGCTCAAGAGACCTAGCTTGGCCATGAAACCTACTGGGTGACCTCGGGCCTCAGAAGACAATGGCAAAGCTTCTCTGAACAATTCTTGCCAGGAAAACTCCATGATAGGTTCACCTTAGGGTTGTCATAAGTCGGAAACAACTTAAAGGGACACAGCAACAAAAACAACAACATCAAAGAGCCACGGAAATTGCAGCCCCCGCCTGTCTTGCCACGTGAGATACATCATGGTGTGATGGGAAGATTCTGAAATGAGTTGGAGTGACAGCTATAGCTTCTAATCTATGGTAAAAGTCTCATGGGTATTTTCTGAGCCTTCCAATTGCGGCATTGCTGGGTGGGATTGTGTGTGATATCAATGGAATTATATATCCCCATTTTGAATCTTTCTTATTACAGTATTTAGGATCTGCTCAGTATTAGGTACGAAGTGAAAAGATTGAGGCTGTGCATGTGCATGCACTGATTTGTTGTTAGCTTGAGAAGACATTTTTTCCATCCTGGAACTGCTTCTCCATATGTATTTATGAGAAATAGCCTAGAAGAGTTTTCAAAAAGTCTACATCACTGGTCCATAGTACCAGTAAAAATTCTTCCTCATCATCACATTTCAAATGAGATTATCTTTCTCTTGTCAGCTTTCTTCACTCTTTAGCTTTCATACCCACACATAGAAATCAGAAATACTATATTCCTATAAGATATCTTTTTGCCTCTGATTTGTCTGTGAGGATGATGAAAAAGAGATCTTTCTGTAGTGAATTTTTGGAGTGGGGTGAACTAACTCACAGTCCTCCAACCAACTGTAAGGAACTGTGCTAAACTTTATCTACCCACCAAAACAGTTGAAAGTCAAGCACACACACACACATACCTGAAACAACATTTTGCTGTTGGCTGGCGCTCGAATTTATAACAGTGCTAGTTTTGCAATCCAAGTTGCTTTTGAGCATTGAACTGGCAACCTGCAGAATATCAGAGGGAGCATCAGCCTTGTGTGCCATTGCATCCCAGCTCTGGTTGAAGGGAGTAAAAGTCACATCAGTAATGAGTCTTTTGAAGCCAGAGCAGGTTAGGTAGAACTCCCTGACCTCTATTAAGCCTTCAAGGCTTGCTTGTCAAGCTCAGCAACTAAGAGAGTTTCCACTTGCTGGCTACAGATGACTTCTGCCTTGCTTCACCTTGCCTCCAGATTGACACAGGTCTCAGGCTCCTGACAACATCTCTCCTGCCAAACTATGCTACTGAACAAAGATCCCCTTACTCCTCTTGCATGAAATAAAACATATACTTAACATATACATTCACACAAAACAAAACATACACTGCTTGTGCATTGAGGTACTGCTTGACCACGATGTTTTAAAACAGAAAGGAAGGAACTTCTAAGCCCCCTCTCATCATTTCTTGTTTGTGTAACATAAAGGTAAAGATTTCCTCTTTGACAAGGTTGCCAAGTTGTGTCCGACTGCAGGGGCCGATGCTGTTGCTAAGCCAAAGAGCCAGCGTTGTCAAAGACAACTCCATGATCATGTGGCCAGTATGACTGCGCAGAACACTGTTACCTTCCTGGCAAAGAGGTACCTATTTATCTACTTGCACTTTTACATGCTTTCGAACTGCCAGGTTGGCAGAAAGTGGGACTAGAGATGGGAACTCACTCCATCATGCAGCACTTGGGCCTCGAACTGCCAACCTGCAGATCTTGCAATCATCAAAGTCAGCATCTTAAATTTGCCCCAAATCAGCCTGAGACATTTTGCCTCAATACATTACAAAGGATGGGACCAAAAACAGAGTACTCAAAGACATAAATAAATAAATAAATAAATAAATAAATAAATATTTGTCATCTCCTTTTAAAATCCCAGCTGTATTTTTTATTATTTTTGTGTAGATAGGTAAAAAGCACACGGCAAGTTGCTGAAAATTGGTGACATCTTTACACCTATGGAGGTGCCAAGAATACACTGAATGCCTACATTTATCCAAAGTTGTACACTAACAAATGTAAATCTGGGCCCCTAAAATGTCTCACTGTAGTGAAGGGTAGACAACCACATC